GGGCGTTTCTACGCGGTCCTTATATGGCTGTAAGTGGCAAGTGTTCGAAGGGTGGTGTGTTGGGCATTGTCTCACATCAGTTCCTGATATTTTGTGTTTCCTTCAAGACCTTATGGATAAGGGCAGGTCCTTTTCCACGATTAAGGTCTACCTGGCAGCGATTTCTGCTTGTCATGTAGGTTTTGAGGGCTCAACGGTTGGGCAGCATCCTCTAATCTGCAGATTTATGAAGGGTGCCCGTCGCTCTTTGCCAGTCATCAGAAGAACAGTCCCTTAATGGGACCTCTCCGTGGTGCTGGAGGCTCTGTCTCAATTCCCTGTTGAGACCCTGGGAAATATTTCCCCAAAACTGCTGTCTTTCAAGACTTGAGGCCTTGGCATCAGCTTAAAGTGTCAGTGAGCTACATGCCCTCTCGGTTCATTCCTCGTGCACTAAATTCTCTCTTGGTGGAGATAAGGTTTTCCTTATGCCTAATCCGGCCTTCATGCCGAAATGTTTCCCTGCGTTCACATCGGAGGTGTTAGAGCTGTGCGCTTTTCACCCTCCACCTTTCTCCTCTGCGGAGGGGAATCCCATATCCAAGCAATGCCTCTCACATTTGCTTGTGGACGCTATAATTTTGGCATATGAATTGAAGTGAGTGCAGCCCCCAGGGGACATCAGAGCTCATTCCATGAGGGGCTTAGCCGCCTCTTGGGCGCTCTGTTCAGGGGAGTATCGCTGCAGGACATTTGCTCTGCTGCCAGCTGGGCTTCTCCCCATACGTTTGTGTGTTTCTACCGGCTGGATATCACTAGAACCTCGTAGGACATTCTGTTTTGGGGGTGGGGTCGTCTTAACCCTTCCTTCTCTTGTGTGTGCCACCACACACGTTTCATGTCCTGCCTGTACACAGCAGTTATGTGTGTGCTTAAGTATGTCGGGTTCATGATTATGGGACGTGTCAGGCACCACCCCTTTGGGTGACCGTCCTTCTCTGGCTTACAGAACCTCACTGTGAGTGTATTGGGCAATCGGGGAGCTGACCATGTCTCTCCCATAGATGGATCTCGAACCTGAGATGATGAAAGAGAACAATAGGTTACTGTCGTAACCCTGGTTCTCTGAAACATAGAGTGGGAAGATCCACCAGCTTTGCCCCGCTTGCCGCACGAGAAGCGAATATACTTACTGGAGAACAGCAGCACTTGCAGGCGTTGTATGCCCTCAGGTAAGGGGGTGGGGCCTTACCTGGCATTGGCTGCGCGCTTCTGTCTGTCTTGCCAGACTTGGTGCAATTGGATGCTTCTGCAGAGGTCAGGTACGGATGCCCTTCCCATAGGTGGATCTCTCCACTCGATGTTTCAGAGAACCGGGGTTACGACAGTAACCTATTGATTTCAAGTGTAACAGTACCTTACTTCTTTTAACAGGGTGATTTAGACCTTTCACATTCCACGAAGCAAAAACAAACCATTGTCTGTTACCTGATGTTACAGCATTACTCTGCATCATTAGGGACCTAAAACTGTATATTGTTATCCCCACACAAATTAACACTTTGAAGTATCTTAAACAGGTCCCCACCCCGCCCACCCACCAACTGAAATAACAACCCCGTCATCTGACCGACAATTAGAACCAGCGGCGTGGGACAAGGTAAATTGAAAATTTACAAATTAGTATCAGAACAGCGATGAGTGATAATTAAATTTCTAGTGAACACCTAACATAAATATCTTATTCGTTGACCCTCAAACAATAATCAACACAGCTCCACAGTAAATAATTTCAGAAGAACATCTCAGAACATATAGAAAAATCAAAAGGAACAGATACGTAATTGGTCGTGGTTATGAAAATTTTACACTTATCATAACAAAATAATTACACTCAGAGAGTTGTATTGTTGGCACTTATCTCAGATGCGTGACATCTTCAAAACAACCACCCGGATCCAAAGCAGTTTTCTGCGAACTTGACGGCCTTGTCTGGATCTGTGAAATAATGTTCCTTGCCGTTGAATGAAATCCTTAACTTTGCTGGGTACTGTAGACCGTACTTGACACCAGGTTTGTACCTCAGCAGTTCCCTTGCTCGTTTGAAAAGCGCGCAGCGTTTTACAACTGCTGGAGGGTAATCCGGGAAGATGTTGATTCTTTGCCCCTTGAAAGTGACTTGCTGCATCTTGGCTGCCTTCTGCAAAATTTCTTTCATTTCGTGAGTGTAGTGTAGCCGAAGAACGAAAGCCCGCGGTGGTTCATCATCCTCGATTTCACAAAGCGCGATGAGCACGATCAACAAGTGGCAGATTATCTAGCGATAAAGCCTCCATCAGAAGTTACGTGGTGATATCCCTTAGTGCGAATGTTCTGTTTCCTACTACGTCCTTCAAGGTCCGTGCATTTGTCCGAAAGCTCCTCCACCACCTGCTTTAAATGTCCCACCTCTTGTTCAAGCTTGGTTACTGTATCCGAAGAAGTGGAAGCGTTAGTTTCCAAGCTTGCAAGTTTTGAAGAATGCTCATCCACCGTGATTTTAACAGCCGAAATCGCAGAACTGGCCTCATGTTGGAATGCCGTTATCTCTCCTCGTATAGAGACAGCAAGTTATTCAATCTTGGAGTCTATTATCTCCCCTATATCCGATTTGATTGAGCGCATTTCACAGCGCAGAGAAGAGATTGCAGCGTTACCCGTGTCCTGAGTACTTTCCGCCGACACATCTTCGGTAGCAGAGTCCGAGGCGGACACGGCCAGAATCTGATCCGCTACTTTACGAGGTTTGGCTTGCATGTTTTTAAGGGATACTTCAGGATTTAGCATTAAGCTTTGTATTAGTAGAAAACCTAGTATTTTCGAATTACCATGCTTTCCACCCTCATATCCCCCTAAAACGAAAGATTTATGTATTTTTTGTCTGGAAAAAATCCTCCGATGACGCAAAAATCGTCATTTTGCGTCATCGGAGGATTTTTTGGCCAGAGGCTAAAGACTACAGTCAGTAGTAGGGGCTGTCCCGCATGTTTTCAACCCGCCCATAGAGGGTGGGATCTCACTCACAGAATGTACACATAGTGTCAGCCATCTTTTTTTGGAAGCTAAGCTAGCAGGCTCTTGTTTATGTGGAGAAAGCTGAGTAGTAGGGGTTACCATCCTCTTTTTCCCGGACATGTCCGGCCGTCGATGTCCGGAATTTAGCTTTTGCTTTCTGCAGTCGCCATTCATTGTTTACATGCACACCTTTTGTTTCAATCTAACTGAATTCATTCCGATTGGTGAATCTGAATGTAGTGTTTACATAAACGCTAAACAAGTGATCGGTTGATGTGCGTTTTAACATTGCTAAGAAAATTCCCGCTCCTCCGTGAGAGATACGAGACCGGTGTGTCTCATAGGTGTCGGCCGCTCATCGGTAATCACGCCACCGGCCTCGCGCACTTCTCCCGCGGCCCTCACTCGTCCTGCTCGCCACAGTAAACATAATGAATGGCGACTGTAGAACGCAAAAGCCGAATCCCGGACATCTTGGGGGATCTCGAAACACATTTTCGGGCAGACTCATCACGGAGACTCACTAGTAGCCTAGACTTGTTGTTTAACTACTGCTCTCCGTTACCGGTAGGCGTGGCCTTCTAAGGCAGCGAAGCAAGTGCATTCTGGGAGTTAATGTCTTGCATCCACATAAGCCAAAAATACATTTTCTGGCTTTTCTCAGTCTAAAAACCTCCAAATTCAAAAATAATTTCACATTTCTTCTACATAAATGACCCATTTTAAATACACATTCATCTTTCCAGAGGTGAAGTATCCCTTTAACTACAAATATCCCAGATCAACAATATTGAAAAATCAATTAGAATCAAAACTCTGTTCCTTTCCTAACAATAAAGAGTATTAAAAGATCTGACTGTAATATTATTTGGATTTAATGTGGAGCTGTCGTAGAACATGTGCTACTACCTGCTCCAGTTGAAACCGAAAGTCAACTCCAGTATTTTCTAACATTACAGTTTTAATCATTTATTTGTTTTGTATGAAGAAAATACTTTTCTCTCCAAAAATGAATAAATAAGTGTAAATTTGTGCTTGGCTCGGAATCATTCTCGGCTGAATCTCTTTAGCATTGGTCTTCTTTCCAATGTATGTTCTTGTGAATATCTGCTCCTCCCCCACAGAGAGCCGAAAAAGAGCTAGAAACACTCATAATGAGTCAGATACCAAATCTAATTAGTATAATTGGGGTTAATGATGTTGACATTGAGCTGAATATGAAATATCCGAGTGGGTGTCCATGTTCATTATCTAATGGTTGAACATACACACACACATCCAAATGAGCATGTGTGATGGGTAAACATGATGGAACCATTAGTCAAAACATAATTTTAATGCATCTGACCATTTTAATAGTAATAATAATAATAGTTTCCTAAGAGAACGAGTAGATTTGAAGGCACAAGTTGATGACTTTGTGTATTGCATTTACATGTGAAAGGTCAGAGGAAGCCAACAAAAAGCATGTCAGTCAACACCCATTCAAAATAATACCCTGTGGAAAAAGCATTTACATTTATCATTGTGCATGCAAAAGACAGCATTTAATCCGACCTATCATGCACATAAAATGAATAATAATATTACATTTTATTTGTAAAGTGCCTTACATAATGAAGCTCAAAGTGCTTCACAAATTAGGCTACTACAGAATAAATAAAATACAAATAAAACAATAAAATACAGTGTATACGTATATATTTCGAAACGCTAAAGGCCTACATTTGTTTGCATATATTTAATATTTTATTTTCGTCTATCTTCGGTGCCTTTTTTGAGTCAGTGTTTCTTTTTCTTTACAGGACACTTTCACGATTACGTAAGAGCTCATAGAAATACAAATAGCCCCCCTCATGGTTTGTCCCTATTTGGAGTTACAATAACAGTAAACCAGCAGCGCGCCCACGCACGACAGTTCTGCTGTCCGCCGACAGGTGGCGAGAGTGAGTCAGCTGTCAGCGCGCTCTCGCAGTCTATTTTGAAGGCAGGCGATTGGAGCACAGCGCGGGGGTGAGGACGCCCGCTGTCAGCATACACGCTACCCAACACACCATTAACCTGTCATTTCAAGACATATCAGGCTTTTTTTGAGCGCAATATCGAGGTGAATATCCCGGACGCTCTAGCTCGCCGAATCTAGGACATTTTTAATTCTTAAAGCGTGTCCAAATCCGTGACGGGAAGACATGGCCACGACTACATGTACGCGCTTCACGGATGAATATCAGCTGTACGAGGAGCTGGGCAAGTGAGTATCACGCGGTTAACGATTGTGCATGTGTGGAACTGTCCTGCACGAAGATTGCATGGTGATATTTTTGGGTCTGGGAGAGCAAACCGACAGCAGTCTCGAGGCGTGGTGGTGCCCCGATAAACGTGCTGTCACAGAGGGAGGAGATAGATACAAGCAAGTCCTGCCAAGAGATCCGCTGACCTGACCACCACTCAGACCCTTTAAAATGAGTTCAAAACATCTCACGTACCGCAGATGCAAGAAATGTTGATTAAGTTGCAGTGCCTCACAAGCTGATTTTTCATGTTCAAATGTAAAAGTAAAAATGCACGTAGCCTAGATGCCTGTTTACGCTGGGTTGTATTTGACATGTCTAAGTTACAATAACATGATGCTTTATCTGTACTATGCTGTGAACTAATAGTTGCTTCTCAAGGAATCGGTAGAGTCGGTTCAGAAAACCAGTCAACTATTTGTTCACGAATCTGATTGAATCAGAGAGGTTCAAAGTAACTCGAATATCGGCAATTCGAGTGAACCGATCAAGTTTTCTTTTTGGGGGGGGGGGACGAATTTCCATCAGTAACCGGATAGCAAAAATATCAACAATTAAAACGTTCTGTATTTACCAATACATGCAGAAACAGATTCGAAAATGACATTTTATTCAAGCAATTTTTTGCCAAGATGTGTAATTAAAGGGATAGCTCACCTAAAAGTGAAAATTGAGTGGTTTAGTCAAAAAATGTCTAAAGAGACACGATCGCTTTATATGATGAACAACAGACTGAATTTAGGCTTTTATTCACATAAACATTTATAATCACACACATCAGTTATGGTAAACGGAAGCTGTTCGCTTGACATTTGAGAGCCAATGAGGTTAATTCTCCTGTTCTTCTACAAGAACCAATTAAAGCTGCAGTCCGTAGGTTTTTTTTGGTTAAAAATTATCCAAAATACATATTTGAGAAAATACATAACCAGCCAGTGTTCAAAACTATCTGCTTGCCGTAGCTCGATTCAAAACGGTAAGCTTGTAATAATGTTTTTAATTCCAGTGGTACTGGTGGATTTCCGTGGGAAATTCGAGCATGTCTTTGCGTCATTACGTCACATCTGTACACATAAAGAAGGAGTCTCGGCTAGTAGGCTATATTGCGTGTGAGGATGCTGGAGGTGGAGATTTATAGCCTTTTCTCACAGCACTTTATATAAATAAACGTATCAATTTGATGGCGGATCCAGAAAGGTTCAAACGACATTCACCAGTGACAACAGATTTACCCGCTGTAAAATGTAAAAGACTTCGTTTGGACTTCGGAGTGGCTAACTTACAGAAAAAAAGAGACTGCAACCGGACCCATGCGAAAACAAGGATTAATATCAGAAGGACATTACATGTAGTCACACAATGCTGACGTTGTTAAAATGAACAATTTGAGAACAAGCATCTGGGGCGGCAGTGGCTCAGTGGTTCATGTGGGTTGTCTACAAACCGGAAGGTTGGTGGTTCAATCCTCGGTTCCACCTGACCAAGTGTCGAGGTGTCCATGAGCAAGACACCTAACCCCAGCTGCTCCCGACGAGCTGGATGGCGCCTTGCATGGCTGCCGTCGCCCGTCGGTGTATGAATGAGTGTGTGAATGGGTGAATGTGAGGCAAATGTAAAGCGCTTTGGTGGCCATTGGGTCTGTGAAAGCGCTATATAAATGCAGTCCAACAAAGTATAATTTGCAGTTTTGCTTGATATGATAAGCGATTGTTAGATTTAATCAGTGAGATTTACTGCAATGTCAGACCCAGAACAAAAGTGGATGTTTCTTACTTGTTCAGATTACATTTTTTCGGTGAAAATTCTTATGTTGGTCATACTTTCAAAAATAATAATCTGTGATTCTGAATGCCAGTATCCACACCAGCGCTGTGACTGACACACACACTTTGTCACTCTCCTCAAACATTGTTTCCTTCCGCGCTGTGCAGTGTCGAAGTACAGCTCACGTAAAGTTTGATAATTCCGCGAATGACTGCAATTGCAGATTTTGAACAGAGATGACGACAGAGGAAAAACTGCGGACTGCAGCTTTAAGTTTATTCTCGCGCGTCAAGGATGTTTTGTTGAGCTTCGGTTTATGTTCTGATCAATGTTTATATGTGAATAAAAGCCTAAATAAAATCTGTTAATCATATAAAGCGATCCAGTCTCTTCAGAAAATTTGGACTAAACCGCTCAATTCATACGGATTAGTTTTAGAATCTCTTTATGAACTTTTTGAAGCATCAGTTTCAGTTGTGTAGCTTTCTATGGAGCTGTCTATCAAAAACATTTGTGTTCCAAAGATGAATGAAAGTCTTAAGGGTTTGGAACGACATGAGGGTGAGTAATTAATGACAGAATTAACATTTTTGGGTGAACTATCCCTTTAAATTCGAATTTTAAGATTGTATACTGCAAATTCAAATTATATTTAGTTTTTTAAAAAAAATAACTTTTATGAGCTAAAATATACTATTTTATGAGGTCAATGGTCATGGGCTGCATCAAACTAACAACTAAATTGATTAATGTAATACCGTTAATAATAAAACATTTAAATAGAAGAACATAATAAAGACCAATATGTGGTAAGATATGGCTTTGTTGAAATGTTTTTGCACATGTAATAAATTAATCCACTCTGGAATTTCAAAGAACCGGTTTAAAATAACGATTCTATCAGGCCTAATAAAAGGAAAAAGACTTTCCATCACTACTATGATGGTCTCTTTCATATCCACATATTATTATTTAATATTACTGCGTATAACATTTATTCAGAAAAATCATTCTTCGTAAGAGCCATCAAAATAGGCTGGTTAAGCAAGAGACGCACATTGTTTGTGCGGAAATAGTTGCTTTAATCTGAGTTTGGACAGCGGGTGCTTTGTGTGTGTAAGAGCATAGCAGCCCAGGTTTGACCATCTCTTTAGTTTAAACTACCCGTTTGTCGACTTTTGAATTTCACAGTTTCAAATATGAGTTTAGAGGTAATGTAAATCCCCTCTGGGAATCAGTATTGCATGAACAATGAATGAATGGTGAGACAGGAGGAGAAAATGAACAGCAAGGATGATGAGACGTAGTGATGCTTTCACAGATCTGAAGGGGCAGGAGCATTTGATGAGGGTCTTGTCACCCCTCAGGCCTGAGGTTTAGCAGAAAACAAATTACAATTTTCTGCTCAAACCAGCGGAAATATGCAGATCGTTGAACGTGACCTCTGACAGCACATTGTAGTACAGAATTGCTTGTGACCTGTGTGTTTGTCTCTCTTTTTTTACCCAGTACCTCCAGTCATCCCAGTAATGCAGAGAGAGGTGGAGGAGGAGCTGAAGTCTTTGTGTCACATTGACCCAAAGCCCCCCCCCCCCCCCCCCCCCCCACACACACACACACACAAACACACAAACAAAAAACACACATCCAGCCCTTATAAATCACTAAGGGCTTGAACTGGCCTGACAAAAACAGGTTCCATTGAAGAGCACTTTAATGATAACTCTGGCATGTTAAATTCTGCCTAGAGACGACCCCTGACATGATTAGCACTGGTTTTGAAAAAAAAAAGAAAAAAAAGATGACTTAGGTATTTTTGTATGCCACCGATTCATTATTCACGCAAAGACCAGAGACATATTGAGAAAATATAGTAAGGGTCAATATTGTGATTATTAAAATCCAAAGGCTGCTATTGAATTAAATATATGTGCTCCGCGTTTCAGAGCACTGTGTTCGTGAACAGCTCATGATCTGGTGTTTTCAAAACAAGTAAAAATTAAATACTGCTCCACACAAACTCATCTCTGCAAGCGCTGTGTGTTTGGGTCTGGGAACGCATCATGCACCAACCAACCATCTGAGGTTTTTCACCAAAATAAAAAATTGATGGTGTAAAATTTGAAAAGAAATATTAATTGTTAGTTTGTTAGTTACTATTACTATTTTTCTTAAATATTAGATTTTTTAAAGTGTACAGTGAAATATAAGTTTCATTAATAATTTTAATTAATATTATTAATTTAATACATTTTTTAATTTGTAAAATTATTATTACTGACTGAAAATATTAAACAAAATAAGAAATATTACTATTGTAATATAATAATAAATAATACATTTTCAATATTTATAAGTAGTAGTGGTATTATTATTGTTGTTATTATAATTATTATTATTATTGAAAATTGCAATCACAATTTTTTTTGTTTTAGAAAAATTGCAATTAGATTTTGTTCCCCAAATAATTCAGACCTACTATTTGTATTTCATCACAACCCATGTATGATAAACATTGCCATAATAACATAAGTTGAGTGTGATGACATGCAAACCTGCTACATCACAGTGTTTGCGTTATTGCGTAAATGTAGATGTTTTTTTTTAAGGCCCAGACTTTTTCTCACCATTATGATTTTCTGACTCTGCATAAGTTGTGAGAACTTATCAAGACAAACCTACTGTACTATATTTTATTCATATAACACAAACCCAGTCGAGTATATTTTATTAATACAGGCTGCCAGAATTAGCTCTCGTTTTAGTGACGTCAGCCTTCACAGTCGAACAGACACTACTGCAAAAGAGTTCGACAGCGTGATGTAAGGACATTTAAAATAAAGAAATAATCTGCTGTGTTTAACATGGAGGGCCATTATTTTACTCTCTTTGCTTCTGTTTTTTCCCTCCTGAAAGGGTAAAAACAAACACCAAACAAGCTGCCAGGGTTTAAGGCAGTCTTTTTGATGTTTTGCCTTTTAATTTTTATACAGCAGAAACTTCACTGTCAAGACGTAGTATTATAATGGCAGTTCTGCTATTGTACTGTCAGAACCTTATACTTAAATTCTCAATTATTTTTTTTTTCCCCCAGGGGAGCTTTTTCAGTGGTGCGACGATGTGTGAAGTTGAGCACAGGCCAAGAATATGCCGCCAAAATCATCAACACCAAAAAACTGTCCGCGAGAGGTGAGTCAATGATGGGTGAATGCAACAGATGGGTTTTAATTCTAGGAACAATTTTACAACTAATATATAGTGTGAATAGGGTTGCAAACGGGCAGAATTTTCCAGAAACTTTCCATGGGAAGAAAAGCTGGGGAATTTTGGAAATATTCCAAGTTGGAAACTTAATGGGAATTTACGGGAATTAATTGGAGATTTGGGATAACTTATACAAACTGTATCAGATACAAACATTTTGTTTGGTCGTAAGTAGACATGCATGCAAATTTTTCATTTTTTTTAACTTTGATTTGTTTGTGAGTTCGATACTGTCATTGACCAACAAAAAAGTATGAATGTTGAATAAGATAATCATATTCCCAATGAATGAATTTAAAGTCGCAATATAATGGAAGCTGCAAAATGTCATTGTGACAAACATCCAAGAGAAACAGATTATCGAAAAATATTTTTTTTTAGGGCAGGAACTTGGTTCTGTCCATCAGTTTCTATCCATGACATTTTGATTAAAAAGTACGAGGTCAACAAAAAATTTGGAATATATTGCAATGTGCATGAATGAATTGTTCACAATATTATAATTGAGATACATTTAGATAATAGATGATGTATTTCCAATTTTAATACCAACTTGTGGCAGCACCATATTAAAGACTATAGAATAACGCTTAAACATCTTAAAGGGACTTTGACCATATGCAGTGATGACATTATTTTGTAATAACATGGTACTTTGATATGATATACACTATTGTACTGAATAATTAACATTTTAATGTACTGCAGTATTGACATATTTCGATAGATATCATGGTACCATGTCCAAAAAACCTTGTCCGTACCAAATTGTAAACGCTCAGAAATACAATCCTAGTACATTCAACGGACATTTAAAATTCTACAGCATGCTGATAACTATATTTAAATCTCCTTCCATGGTTACTGTCATTGCCAAAGGTATATTCAAACACCATGTCAATGAGAGAGAAACTACACCAGTGAAATGACAGAAAGAGATTTTCAGTTTTTACGACATCCCGCTGTTGACTGAGGGGTGTAAATCTTTTTACACCCTTCTGTCCTCCCTTCTGAAACTTGAAGCCAGCAGTTGCTTTGCCAAAGTGTCATCCTCATCGTGTCCTCCATTGGCTGTGTGGTCATTGTGGTGAGAATGTGTAATGTGGAGAACAAGCACTTGACATGTATTTGATTCCACAGACGCTGAAAACCATTTTAAAATAGGCCCAACAACCTTCTAAATACAGCTCGTGTGGAGAAACACATTGCTGTCTAATTGTGTGGTTAGAGGAAACCAAATCAAGGTTGGGAATGTAGAATTTATTTATTTTTTGAAGGAAAGACATCTTGGTTAATATGGTTTTGGATTAGTATTTTAAGTGTTATCTTTCTTGATGATAACACTTTAAAAACATCATAAAACCAGGTCATATTTTATCACAAAATCATAAAAATAATAAACAACAAACCTAATTATTTGTGTGTGTGTGTGTGTGTGTGTGTGTGTCTTTTTATATACACTAACTTTAAAAAGTTTGGGGTTGGTAAGATTTTTTTAAATATTTTTGAATGAAGTCTCACCAATTGAATTTATTTGGTACAGGACAGTAAAAATATAGTAAAAACCGTAAAATTGTGAAATATTATTATAATTTAAAATCACTGTTTTAATTCTATTCCAATATATTGATTTGGTGTGCTTTTTCTTCTTATTTCTTCTTATTTTCAATGTTGACATTCCTGACAGGTCAACCTAGCCCTTTTCTTTTATTGTAGATTTGTGTTATTGTAGCATAAAAAGCAAGTAAAGGATGATAAATGTTCACAGTGTTCGATTTGACATGTATTTGACAAAATAAGGTGCTGCGGTGGGTCATGTAGATTAGGAGTGACTGTCTTTAGGCTGAGAGTTACTCTGAGGAGAGAGAAACAATATGATCTGTCAAGGGGTTAGAAGGAGGATGGGCATGAGAGAGGAAATGTGACCTAGATATACAGAAAGAGAATGAGTGGGAGAGAGAGTGAAGGAATCATCATGAATGACTTGGAGAGAAAGACACATAAAGAGAGGGCTGACAGTGAAGGCACCTTTGGCACTTGGCAGCTGTGTGTGCATGTGTGTGCGCGTGCATAAGAGAGGGAGTAGTTACATGCCTGGAGCACGAGACTCTCATCTGATCCAGAGAGATGGTCATGACCCTTGCAAAATGCACAAATATGTTCATGAGATGTGATTTGAAGTAAGACCCATTGCGTTATAAATTAACGCTATTAAATTAGTCGTTTTACTTGTACATTTTGCACACTTTGCACTGTACAATTGTCTCTCTAAGTTAGACGCAATAGTAGCGTTTTAAAATTCTTTCCCTTTAAAGTATCACAGCTATATCCATACACATGCAGATGGCCGTAATCGTCTAAATCATGTTGGAATCATGTTGTTTTTTATTATTGTCACTAGCGTTAAAGGAACACATCTTATGTAGATGCGAGAAACATGTCAAATCAAGCTTCCCCCAAGGGCGTAGATTTGGTTTGAACATTGGGGGGGTTGAAGTTTGGGTATGCCTCCTGATATTGTGATTATGGTATAAATAATGGGGGGGTTGTAATGCATAGATTTAAATATTGGGGGGGTTATATCCCCCCCATCCCCCCCCACAAATTACGCCCCTGAGCTTCCTTAAAGTCTCAATGTTGCGACAGATCTTTTGTGACGTACACCGGAGTGAAATGAATTGTCGAAAAGAAAAAATGTTGGGCGGTGACTTGGTTCAATCCGTCAGTTGTTGATTGGATGGAGGCAGTTCAATTGTTCACAGTAAGATCAATAACATAGTGGCACCTAGTTGCTTCTAATTCTTCTGTACCACCTTTTGAAGTCAGTCTAACTACAACCAGTATTTGAAACACGAGCAAACCAAACGGTTTTCCTTTTAAATGCTTACTTACAAAACATAAAATTATACATAGACATGGTACGCACGGTCAAAAAACTGTGTTGCTTCCTACGTCTCTAACTTCAAACTAAACTAACTACATCCAATCGCTTACGCTATGACGTAGTGCTATCTGACTGGAAGCTCAAAATACTGAAATGTCATCAGATCTAAACATTACTAAATCGTGCATTTTAAACCAATACATTTCTTATGAATTTTCATGAATTGTTTTTTTTTTTTTTTTACTGTTTTTAAACTAAATTATTATTTCAGATGAACTAGTCCCTATGTGGCTCATTACGCATTTAGAAAATAGATGAATTTCCATTTCATGCCAACTTTAAGACAAATTTCTTTGACTACATTTTGAAAATATCTAGTTTTGCACATACATAAACTGCCAAACCACCAAAATGTTTAACTAGCAAGACATTGCTTTCACCTTGAAGTATTGATACTTGGTCTCGGAAATGAAGTGTGAAGTTTTTATTTAAATTTGATACAGGAAGACCATTTTAGTTGGAGGGAACTCATTAGCTAGAGCGGATCTCCGTAGCTGGGTTGACAGTGTTTGGTGCTGGCGTTCTAGTGTTGCGACAGCTTCATGAGTATGTGTATAACTCCGAGAATGGCCAGCAGCTGAGCCTAAGGTCAACGCACATCAGCGACAGACAAAGGGGGTGGGATTCCAGACCTGGCTAATAGTCAATATAGTAGCCCATCTCTGTGATGGAGGTTAGTATGAGTAAGATGAGGCAGTGCCAAGCCATTAAATCATAAAATATGGCAAGGCTGAGAATAAGGACAACAAAATATTGAACAGTAAAGGTGGAACGTGATCAAATGGAAAATAAAACTTATAGGCTAATTGGCTCTTCATATGGAACTCAACTGTGTGACCTTGAGTGTCAGTTGGAATGAATGTCAGATAATGGTTAGATTATGTTTATACATCATACATTGGCCTCTGCAATTTATTATTATTTTTTTTACAATTAAGGTGCACTTAAAAATGGATGAATGTTTTTGCATTACAAAACAAAGGATCAATCCAAGTGTCATTTATCTTAAAGATGGCACAGGCATATTTTTTTAAGCAAAAGTTTTTTAGTTTTTTTTTAGCAGAATAGATTGATATTTGTATCTACATAATATGTGAATGTGTATATTATAGATATTTGTGGTTGTCAAACAGTGGAGAAGTCACCAGAGAAATGTTTCAATAAAATGAAATTAGTTCTGGGAAAAGTCTGCCATCATTTATTTGCCACTTGGTTTGATATTTCATGCAATCATGTAATGACATTCATAAGACACAATTCATAATTTTCCAGATAATGTTTGGGACCACTGTATATCCAACCTAGATTTTCTGAACTATAGTGAATCCGTAAATGTAATATTATATATTATATTAAATGTGTATTTTTAAATTAAGTGGTAATAAAATTAAACATTATATTTTAAAAATGTATACATTAATATGAATGTTTATTATAGTATTTGAATGGTTGAATGGTCAAATAGTGGAATTTTTCATGACTATATCCTAACTGGTTGAATTGTATTGTGAATTCAAAACTTTCACTTACTACGTCAAAAAATTTGTTGTGAAATTTTGCAAACCTTAATGCCCAGCGTTGCAATTTTGCAAGGTTCCAAATTATCCCCCAGTCAGTGTTGCACAATATACAGATACTAGAAACTGCTGTTAAAAACATTTAACATTTAACGATTTAAATTGTTGATGTCGCCTTCAGCCGTGTCTGTCATTAGGGAAAGCTGATTTTTAATTGCATGTGTTGCTGTTGGCTTTAATTTCACTGATGCGTCTTGAGGCATTTTCTGCTGCTATCAGTTTGGTGAGACATTAGACAGCCTTTTAAAGCATGAATCATACACTTAAGACATACGTTTTGTATTACCCTTATCCATCTGGGGCTTGATGGGGTTTTAGTGCTGTTTCTGTTGATTCTGTTGATTTCTCAAGCATGGAGCATTTATTCCATTTTCAGTAGCACATCATCATCATCATTAGCGTCCTCATTATTGTAAGCATTATCCTAGGCAGTGCGTTCTGTGTCCAGATGTGCCAGTTGGGCGCTCTTCAATAACCAGGGTTTATATCGAGAGGTTTGTATATGTATATGTTACATAGATATAGACGCATAGATGGTTGAGCTCCTCAGGCTTAGGTGACTGGTCAGGATAAATATAGATTAGATATTAGTTCAGGGCTTTCACTTTCACTGTCTGAACCTTAAATCTAATCTGGACATTCTGAAGTAACACATTGTGTTGAGTCTCTATCTAGCCACTCTCATTTCTGGGCCGCACTTATCTTTTTATCAAGACTGAATGAGATCTGGGACATTTAGCCCAACCGTGACAAGCTTATTGTTTGTGATTGCTGCCAGCTCTCATGTTTTTACGCTAAATGCTCAACACCCGACACAGGAAATAATAATGGTGTAATAAAAAAAACATGATGGCATATCAGGTATGTGATGATGTCTTTTCCAATGGAAACCTGGCCTTGTAACTATGTTCTATATCTATGGAGTTATGTAACAGTTTTGAAGTTTTGTTTATTTTGAACTTGGTTTTATTCAAATTCTTCCCAATATTTCACAGTATGTGAATTGCTCTTGGGTAAGGATGCACTGTATATTGGTACCATGTAAGTTATGGACTATGTAGTAGTTTTTATTATTTTATTAGTCAGTATTGGAAATGTATCGGCAGATATTGTAAATTTAATTAATGGGTGTTCATTTTTGCTTATTTTTATATTTAGGTTAGATTTGACAGATCTCAAAATAAATATCTGTTTAAAACAAAATAAAAAAATGTAAAAGTGAATTTAGGAATTTGTGATTTTTTTTTACACAATATTAAAATTGTTGTCTTTTTTATATTTTAGTATATGCAGCTATGACATAGAAATAAGTATAAAATAAGGCTTATCAGTATCCGCCAGCATTTCACTATTAGTGCATCCTTACTGGGCTGTTTCTTTACAGCTAATATCACACTGTTCAGTCAGTGTTTTATCATTTCTGCTCAACACTTCCTGTGTGCTTCTGTCTTTGACCCTCAGACCACCAGAAGCTCGAACGAGAAGCTCGAATCTGTCGTCTGCTGAAACACTCCAATATCGGTGAGCTTTTTACCCTCTCCAATTACAATAAAAAAAAAAAAAGTATATTATATAGGTGGATGTTGTGTGATTTATTCCCCTACAGCCACATGAACCTCATTTCCTTTCTCTTTTTCTGTTTTAGTTCGTCTGCATGACAGTATATCAGAGGAGGGCTTCCACTACCTACTGTTTGATTTGTAAGTGTCAGTATACTTCCTGTCAGAATATTCCTCCGTTTCCCGTCATCAAATGAGCTTTGACGTGAGGAACAGCGCATCTTTATATGAGTCATCCCTCATATGCTATGTGCCTCTGAAGCCTTTTATTCTGTTTTTCTGCACTGTTAAAAGGATAATTCACGCAAAAATAAAAAATGCTGTCATCATCTGCTCACGCTCACGACACTGTATGAATGCAAAAGGAGTACTTCTGCCTTCAAGTCACGTTGGAACGTTGGATTGTATTTATGAGATGAGCACAAATGCACCCCACAAATTGTTATTGATCATAGTAAGTTGTTAAAATTGGCTAACACATTAATTTTATGTCCAGAATTGCTGTACAATGTACATCACGTTGTAATTATGATTTTTCTAAATCGTAAGTAGGAGCTTCCAAAGAGGAGTTTCTGCTGTTCTGATGAAAGTGGATAGTAACTAGTGGCTTTGCTGTGTAACTTCAGTATTATTTACAGTATACTGTTATAGTATTTACTAATATTTTGAATTAGCTTTTATATTTTATATGTTCACTTTTAATTTTCAGTTTTCAATTATTTCAATTAATAATTTTCTATTATTTCAGTTTTGATTTAAATTCATTTTAGGCTATTTTTAGCTTTTCACCTTAAACTTAAGCCGCGTTTCCACCGAAATTACCCGGAGCAATTTGTCCCGGGAATGTTTTTCCCCCAGACCTGTTGCTGTCTGCGTTTCCATCGCGGTCTAAAGTACCGTGAAGAATAGGCAAATTAGTCCAGTGACGTAGGACTGTGCGCGACTTTCCAGTTCCCGCTTAATAAAGCCTGACCCTCGTCGTCGGTCCAGTGGTCGTATTTTTAAAACTCCATTCTTGATTCGAATAGCAAACAACTCTTACTGCACGCAGTATTATTATAGTTGAAAAAAAGACTTGCACTCCGCTCTGCAGCTGGAAGTTTGAACTGAGGCGCTACAGTGATCTGTCACATTTAAGAGAATCAAACAGCATTTTTTGTTTGAATTTTGTGATAAAATGGACAGAATTTGAAAGCTGAGACTTTGTTTCTTATCAAAGTAACAAAGCACAAAGCTCTTTTGATTACTGGATAGGAGATGCGCTACAAAAATGTTAGGTGTAGGGAAAAACCACGGACCTGGCAACCTTGGCTTGAACTATAGGTGATTTATAGGGTCAAATAGATTCTACTTAGACATTTTTTTTTTACAGTTATTGTCCTGTTAACTTTGACACAATGAGTTACAGTCAGTTGCACAGTTTTGATTGATATGTAATAATCGGCCCTGATCTTCAGCTGTTGTTATACAATCGGCCGATGACGATAGTGAAAATAATAGCTTTTATCGGTATCGGCCAATGCATCGGTGCATTCTTAATTATTATGCATTATAAAGTTTTAAATCTTTATATTAAACATGCAGTGATATCAGATGGGCTATAATCAAAAACATTCAATGCCTCCCCAAAATCATGCCATCTTTCCTGAGAATTTTTGCATTGGATTCTCGTCTCCATGGAAACTGAGCTTGAGGAAGAGATTTGCACTAGAACGGGAATTTTGTTTGAATTAGCAAATAGCTAGGGTGAACTTGTTTCCTGTGTTTTAGGGTGACTGGAGGGGAACTCTTTGAGGACATTGTAGCCAGAGAGTACTACAGTGAAGCAGATGCCAGGTAAGAATGCTTTTCTTAATGTTTTCCTCTCTTCTTCCCTTTCTTCTCTCTCATTGGCCCTAGCTTGTTGCACCCGGCACCACCACATACGCGTTCACTGTTAGTTTTTGCATTTGGAGATGCTATTTGAAATGCCATCTTCCACAGTGCAACACACAGATCTTGCTCTTTTTCCAGCACACACTCTAGGATGAAATGTGGCCTTTAGCCTAAAAAGGTGGCCAGACAGAACTGCACACTAACATTGTTTGAGGAAATTAACTGTATGATGTTGTGTGTAGTTCAGGTGCTTTATGTGAACTATATAAAGGGCCTTTGTTCAACACTCTAGATTAGAACAATTCTAGAGTGTTGTTGTTGTGTGTTTTGTCTAGATATGTCTTTTTCCACTGATCTATCTCTGTCCTTTTATCATGCATTATGTCTCTCTCCTTCTCATACACACACACCTGCTCAAACAAACACAGACACAGCCTTTCTGCAGGCAATTTTTTGGCTATCCTCTACAGATCCCTTTCCACGGTGTGTGAGTGTGTGGTTATGTGCTATTTGCCAGGGTTTGCTGTATGCAGTTAAAGGTGTTAGTCCTGAGCATTATCACCTCTGTGGTGCAGCCCATATAGTATGCAATTCATGCTGACTTCCCTGTGTACATCCTGTGGGTGTGTGTAACGCATTCATTTGGGCAGTCTCTCTTGTGTTTTTTTTTTTTTTTTTTTTACCCAGCGCTTGTGCCATGGTATTGTTAGCGTGGTGGATGTGGCATAGCAGTTAAATCCTAGCCTGGTAACTGGTAAAAGTTTAAACCCTGCAAGAGACAATACATAAACTGCCACTATTTTGCCCTTGACACCAAACCTCAGGTTTCTTTTAGATGTGTGACATTTGACTAAATATATAGTTGAGTGTGTGTGTGTATATATATATATATATATATATATATATATATAGACATTTCAAAAACATAACTTGGATAGATAGATAAATAAATGAGTGTGTAAATATAGTATATAGATTTTTTTAAATCATCTAAATATAATTGTATAAAACATAACATGTTTTAAGTCTGCTTTTTTTTTATTAAAAAAAATACAGTAAAACCCGTAATATTGTGAAATATTATTACAATTTAAAATAACTTGTTTTAAAATATGAATTTTAAAGTGTAATTTATTCCTGTGATGGCAAAGCTACATTTTCAGCATCAATACTCCAGTCTTCATTGTCACATAATCCTTCAGAAATCATTGTAATGATGATTTGCTGCTCAAGAAACATTTCTCATTATTATCAATGTTGAAAATAGATGTGCGGCTTAATATTTTGTGGATAATGTGATACATAATTTTTTTTTAATGAATAGAAAGTTAAAACAACAACAGCATTCATTTGAAATATTTTTTGTAATGTGAAAGTCTTTACAGTCATTTTTGATCAATTGAATGTGTCCTTGCTGAATAAAAGTATTAAAAGTATGAACCCAAAATTTTGAACAGTAGTGTATATAATAAAAATATAAAATAAGAAAAGATTTGAGGTTTGATATAAATAAAATGCACAAAATGAATACTTAAATTACTGTGCAAGTAAAAGCGAATAATTTTTTTTTGCAAATGAAATACAGCATTTAATGGTCAACTGGTCTGTGCAGAACGAGTACTCAACTAGTCGATTACTTGTACAATCCATAATACAGGTGTCTGATTATATTATATTATGATCTGGGTTGTTATCAAGGGTTGCAGGTTCAATCTCAAGTGTTTAAAATGTATAAACCACAGTTACTGAGCCTCCCTGTCTTGATCTGTCACCGCTATTAAAGTTGAGCAATGTGCATATTTGCCCATGACCCAGCTGTTAGTTACCACATTACACTTTAGCTGAGCTAAAGGGCAGTTTACTCTTTTAAAGTGTACTTGTTTGATGTGTTTACACTGTAATTACTGCAATTACATGTACTATATTGCACAGGGGCTCTTATAATAGGTTTCTATAATGCCCAGAGAGGCCTCTTGAGATGAAATTATAGGCCGATAACTGTCTGTTTGAATCAAGTGCTAGCTTCCATTCCCTAGATATCCTTGTCAAACAAAGTGCAGGTTATCACAGCACAATTTTGAGGGTGATATTGCTTTTATACAACTTATATTTTAGACAACAACAACATCATCAATAATAATTATAATAAACAATAATAATTATTAGGCTATTATTTTATTATTATTATATAAAATAAACAGCATTGTTTTTATATGAAATAATTGTTACATTTATTTATAAATATTCATTATTATCATTATTATATTTCTTATTTAAATATTATTTATTATGGAAAATTATAATACAAATATTTTTTACAAAAATGAATATTAGAAATTTCAGTTGGAAGTGAATTATCATTTACCACTATAATCATTAGAAAGTTGTAAAGTTGACAGAGAAATGAAATGGATGCAGGGAAACATCTCAGCTTCTTCTCTAGTGCTCATCTCCTGCTGACCTGCTTCCAGAAACCTGCTGTCTGTCCCTCCTCTTGCTCTCTTTCCATTCTTTCCATCTCTGTTACTCTCTCTTTCACTCTAAACGCCCCTCTTCTTGTGAAGCCCTGCAGTCGTGCGCTGCCCCCTGCCTCCTCAGAGAGAGGGAGAAACTAGGGCTCCAATTAACACACGTAATTAGGGCCTCGTTTTTCTCCCCTCCTCCCATTCTCCACCTGTCTCTCTCTCTCTTTCTGTCTGCCTTCTGTCTTTTATTCAGATATTCTAGCTTTTTCATTCTGTGTGTGATGGTGTCACTGACACCTTCTCCACTGTGTTGTGGCTCTTGTTGTTGGATGTGTGACAGAAAGTGAGTATGACGCTAATGTAAATGGAAACGGGCCCAAGCTTTAGTGATTTAAATCAGCGAAAGGACTTTACTTATCATCTCTTATTCATATTATTTGTCAAGCTAGTCTATTAAAATATTTGTAGTTTTGCATACATGTATACAGTACATGTGTATACAGTATAAACACACACACACACACACTCTCTTTACAATTTAGATTTAAGAATTATATCCTTGCAAAATTGAATACAGAGATTAAGTTGTGTAACAAGATGTTCTTTATTTAAATCCTATGTTTTTGTCATAACTAGGGTTGCAAAGGAGCGGAAAATGTCCGGTAAATTTTTTGGAAACTTTCCAGAATTTTGCTGGGGAATTTTGGAAATATTCCAAGTTGTAAACTTAACGGGAATTATGGGAATTTATGGGAATTAATTGGAAATTTGGGGTAATTTATAAAAACTGTCTCATACACACACACACATATTTCTGTAGCATTGTGCTGATTAGCTCCGCCCACTGTGAAATCTCAATAGTCTCAATAAAACTCATTGTGCCTAGTAAGGATACATTGTTGGTTGGATTTTCCCACTCAATATTTTTTCCGATTTTTTTTTTTAAATCTAGCTGTGTACTACAGTTACTCCCATGAGCAGGTCGACATAAACACATACATGAATTATTAAATATATTAGACAGTTTGTATTTCTATCCCACTGGAACAATTATGTTGGCTCAGGTATATATATATACACACACACATATACATACATATACACTACAGTTTGGGGGCAGTGCAAAACATTTTTCTTTCATTTTTTTTAAACATTTATTAAACAAGAATCCATTGTAAAGACATTTAGAATGTTACAAAATATTTGTATTTCAAATAGATGCATTTGTATTTTCAAATAAATGTATTTCAAATAAAACTTTCTATTTTCCAAAGAATCCTGAAAAAATATGAACTGTTGATGATAATGCCTACAGAACGACCACTGGCTCTGTACCCCTTTACCTAAACTCACTAGTTCAGACTTATGCGCCCTCCAGAAGCTTGAGTACTGCAAGTGAACAACGCCTCATCCCAAAGATACGCAACATCAATCTCAGAGCCTTTACTTGGACTGATCCCAGCTGGTGGAATGACCTGCCTATCTCAACCCGAGTAGCTGAGTCTTTAGCCACTTTCAAGAAACGACTAAAGACACATATTTCATCAACACTTGACCTGTTAATACTACCACTTACTCTTTTATTATATTTTTTATTAATAAATTAAACCTTGCTGACAGACTAGTCTGGACTGTTCTAGACTAACTGGGTCTTGTCGTAGCACTTGCATATAGTTGCCCTGTTGTTGGTCTGATGGCTTCTATTCTTCTCCTCATTTGTACGTCGCTTTGGATAAAAGCTTCTGCTAAATTATTAAATGTAAATATTTCTTGAGCACCAAATCATTAGAATGACTTCTGAAGGATTTTATGACACTGAAGACTAGAAAAATGGTTTCGCCATCACAGGAGTAAATAATATTTTGAAACATTAAAACAGAAAATGTTTTTTAATTGTTTAAATATTTACTGTATTTTTGATTAAATAACTGCAGCCTTGGTGAGCATAAGAGACTTCTTTTAAAAAAGACAAAATCTTACTGATCCCAAACCTATGTATATATTTGTGTGTATGGTGTTTGTGTGTGTAATTGCTCTTCAAAGACACTATATTGTTGTAAATCCCCACACCAGCATTTATTCTCACATACTTCAGATTTAACACACACACACACACACACACACACACACACACACACACACACACACACACACACACACACACACACACTCTCTCACTACACCTGTTTCTCCTCACCTCCCTTCTCCTACTCTCTCTCTTTCTCTCTCTGATCTTGTTCTTGTTGTTGACAGTTGTGTGTCTCATGTCTAAATGGTTTTGTCTCTTCACTTCCATCATTCACTTCCCTCTCTCCTTTTAATCCCTCTCTTCCCTCTCTTGTTTACTTCACTCTTCCCATCTCTTGTATATCGATCATTCAACCTGTCACCTTGCTTTCTCTATCATCTCTGCTCCTTTTGTTCAATGCACTGCCATCACTTCATCAATCGTTTGATTTCACTCTATCCATCCTCACATTTCCCCCCCACCTCTCATTCCCTCCCTCTCCCCACTCTCCTTTTTCTTTTCTTCCGTTTTGTCTTCACAGTCACTGTATCCATCAGATTCTAGACAGTGTCCATCATATTCACCAACATGACATAGTGCACAGGGACCTGAAGGTCAGTATGTAGCTCACACACTGCCTGTTTATGGCCCGTCTGTTTGTCCCTGCTTGCTCCTGTCTGTGTGTCTGTAGTTGTAGGCTGTCTTGTCTGTCTGTTTGTCTGTGTATGGCATCATGGGCTTCCCCTAATCCATTGACTGCCTTCCCAAACCTCCCGAATCCTTACTTCTTGCGCTTGATCTTTAGCTTGATGCTGTTGTTCAGATGATCAGAAGGTGTCATGGGTATTTTTTTTTTTTTGCTTATGAGGTTTTTACTTGTTTTTATTTTTTTGTTCCTCAACTATTACTTTTAAAGGGATAGTTCACCCAGAAATGCAAATTCTGTCGTCATATACTCATCCTTATGTTGGTCCAAACCTGTATGCATTTCTTTGCATGTCCGCAGAAGAAAGTAAGTCAAACAGATTTGGAAGGACATAAGGGTGAGTAAATGATAACAGAACTATCCCTTAAATTATATTTACATTCTGATACTGTGTATTTAAAGTTTCATAGTGGTTCTTTGTATAAACATTCTTAAATCACTGTTATAATATTCATTATGTACCATGTTTTCTGTGTCAGAAACGCTAGGCAAACATTTGATTGAGGTCGTAGAGCCCTATGAAATCAGTTTTATTTTTTTCTAAATTTCATCTTATTTTTTCTGTGTTTTTGTTTTCATTTTTCTGGATTCCATTATAATGGTTTGATTACATTTTATAAAAACAAAAAATTAAGTGTAATCAACTTAATTCATAAACAATTAACAATTTAATAATGTATTACATTTTTAACAATGATAATGTCCTATGAAATGTTTTTGTTTTTGTCTTTTGTAATTTTCTGGATTCTGTGTTTTAATATTTAATACCAATTTATTAAAAAAAGGTTGTAATTAAATTAATGCATTACAAACTTTATCAATTTAATTAATCTTTTAAAATGTAATGAACAATTCCTTCCATATTTTTGGGAAAAATAAGCGCTGCACAACAGAGGTTTAGTGTTTAAATTAAAACATGAAAAATTGTGTGATATTCCTTAAACCTGTTTACTAGAACTAGACGAATCTGCACCGGTCCGCTTATTCACAGACACGCAGAAAATGCAGATTTCGTAAGGCGTTTTTGCACTTTAATATTCACAGACACTAGTCAATATTGCAATTTGATTAAGTGTACAGCCCTACTTCTGATTTATACATTTTTTTTTTTTCCAAATTCCATAACATTCCATGTGATACATTAAATTACATTTTTATGACTGGATTTTGTGATTCCATCCTCATTTTCCACATCGCAGAATTCATTGGGCCCTAAGGTAGTCTGCATGCACTCCGCACAAGACATATTATAGCAGCTGATCTCGTTTTATTGTCACAGTAGTATCCCCGAGTTCAGTTGCAGTAGTCTTTTTAGTACTTGAAAGATAAACAGTGTCATGAACTACCAGTCATTCTCTTACTTGAAACAATGCTAGGTTTTAATGAAATTTTGCAAATATCGTTTTGTTATTTTGCGTCTCAGTGTAGATTCTTGCAAAAAAAAAGTTAGCCGTTTAAATTGCTTCTCTAGCTTATGAAGCGTAGGAGAAGAGACTCAAATACTGTAACGTTGATGTTAGTACAGGAAATAAAGCTAATATTAGAAAGGGCACACAGTGAGTTTAAGTACATTTTTAGACGTTTTAATGTCCATAGCAGTTCTTTCGAGTGGAGATTTTTTGCTGAAACACAGTGACACTTCCTGTCTCACCCTTACACACACAAACTCACACACACATCTTCTCTTCCAGACCAGCTATGATCAGCAGCTGACACAGGGGGAGGTGTGAAGAAACACACACACATGTACACACTATGATGAATGCACAGATATATGGATATTTAACATATCCATATATGCGCTCATACGTTTAAAGGCAGAGTAAACAGACAGATTCACTCTCAGAAATGTTTTTTCAGAGACATTCTGTCTTACACTTGCCGTGACCATATGTCATGCTCCGTGGCCTTTTAATGGGAGACATTTAGAAAGCAAATGCAGCACTTTAATTTACAGCCCTGAACTTTACTGCCATGCCAGAAAACTCATGCAGTGCACACTGCACATGGATAATAATAATCACAGCTATAACATTATTTATGCAGCACTGACCCTATCAGAAATGCATCTCAAAGTGCTGTATTAAAGATTAAATGTGGTCATTAAGAATAGATTGCTTTAAATAGTTTTATGTAATTCTAATAATTTATACTGTTTTGCCTTTGTAGGGCAGAACAGAATGACAAAATCATCTTCGAGTATGTGTCAGTTTTTTGCAGATTAAAATGTTTTTAATTTTGAAGTATTGCAGTCTTTTTAAATTTGATGGTAAATTTGCTAATCATTTTAGATAAAAGGGTCTTAATACTAATTGGAATGACTAAATTGACTTCAAGATTGACAGTGTCAGAAGCAAAGCTTGAATCTAAGAGAAATTTCTTGAATCTAAAAGAAAAGTCTTAGAGCTTTGATGCCTTTAAATGGCACAAACTCTGAAGCCAGACTGCAAAATCTGTTTACATCTTAATATAGCGATTTGACCTTTTCTTTAGATTTCTTAAGATATAAAAGAAAAATCTCTATATAAATTTGCTTCTCATGCGAACGTTGACATTGATTAGCTGAAAGGCGTTTAATTTTTCAGAAAAATAAATAATAATTCTATTGAAATACTTTTATTGATGCTTGGTAATACACAATCTTTCAAAAGTTTGGGATCAGATTCTTGAATGTTTTTGAAAGAAGTCTTTTATGCTCACCTAGGCTGCATTTAGTTGTTCAAAAATACAGAAAACAGGAATACTGTAAAATATTATTGCAATTTAAAATAAGTTTTTAACCGTAATATATTTTTAAATGTAATTTATTCCTGTGATGACAAAGCTGCATTTTCAGCAGCCATGACTTGTCAGGGTTATTTGATGTATAGAATTTTTTTTTTTTAAATACAAATATTTTGTAACATTAGAAATTACTTTACTGTCACTTTTGAACAATTGAATGTGTCCTTGTTGAAAAAATGTATGTATTTTAATTTATTTAAAAAAAACAACTAACTGACCCTAATCTTTTAAATGCTAGTGTAGAGTAAATTTGTAGCTTTAGTTAATGTCATTCACAGTTGCGCCATATCACATGACCTTCAAACACACACTGCTTTCTCTCACTTTAGCTTGCAAACCCTCTTACTGTTCACCTTCCATGTGCTGTGTGATTCCAGAACAGCTAGAACACTCCCATCTTAGGGATTTTTCTTCCAGCATTGAAAGATTGGACTCAGGGCATGTGCTGTATATTGGAATAGCTTTGACCTAGAGAGCCATTTACAATATGAATTGATTTACATAATTGATTTAGCCTTTTCCTCTACCAGCCGACCTCAGTGACCCTTAGTGTATTATCACTTGGATGTCGGATCTAGGTTTGGGCTGTTAAATACCAAAACCGTCATTTCTGAGATTTCGCCCAGGCATAGGCTGCACTTGTGCATAGCAACATGTAGGGGTCCGTGTGTGTGTGTGTGTGTGTGTGTGTGTGTGTGTGTGCGCGTGCACGTGTTGCTGATATCCTACACTTCTTAACACACACACATTACACTCTCATGTCACTATATTTGATCAAAGACTGCATAGATATACAGCTGTGCTACTCTGTATGATTTACCTTATAAAGGTTTAATTTCTAAGAGCCTCTTTTACTGCCCTATAGGGAGAAGGAGAAGAGTAGAGCTGCAAGCAGCAATTAGCAGAATCCAGCGGGTATAGAAATCTGCCGCAATGTTGTAGATTAAATGGACTTGTAATTGAAATAATTTAATGTTTAATATCTCAAATATTTTGTGTGGTTGACTTTTGTCTAATATATATCGATTCAATATTTAATACGAGTACATACATGACTATGCTAGGTCATGTAAACGTGAAAAAACTGCTAAATTTGGCACACAGGTTTTGGGCTATTACCTAAATTTTCCTTTGCATTTTGAAGGCTTTTTTAATGTGTGCACGTGTTGGGCACATTAAACAGTTTTTTTCTTAAACTACCATTTAAAAGTTTGGGGTCGGTCATTTAAAAAAAAGGAGTCTCATACTCACCAAGGCTGCAATTATTGGATCAAAAATATAGTAAAATACAGCAATATTTTGAAATAATATTACAATTTAAAATAACTTTAAATTTGTTAAATATTGTTTATTACTGTGATGGCAAAGCTACATTTTTCAGTGTCACATGTTCCTTCTAATATGTTGATTTACTCAAGAAAGTAAAAAAAAACAGCATTGATATAAAATAGAAATGTTAATATACAAGTCTTTACTTTACTTTTGATCATTTTATGATCCTTGCTGAATAAAAGTATTAATTTCTTTAAAAGAAGTCTCCAAACTTTTGAATGATAGTGTATGAAAATGCAGTTTTGTTGTATTTTTGGCTTTTTTTGAATGAGCTGATCTCAAATCCATTTTGAGATCAGTTCTTGAGAATATATTTTTTCCTAAAAATTAAAACTGTTCAAGGTACATAGTAGGCTGGCTGGAAAAGTAATAGGAAACTTTCGTGAACTTGTATTTTGCAGTGATTTAATAGAACAGGTCCTACATATGTTGACAAAAGAAATATTCTTGAACTCTCAATAGGCACAAAGCGTTGCTTCCATGTCTTAATTGTAGATATATCGCAATTGTATTATATATATATATATATATATATATAATATATATATAACATAAGTTCTCTTACAAAAGGTTCTCTCGTATTGCGTAAGTTTAGCTTACGCTACGGGTAAAGTTAATCTTTTCTCGAGATACTGAATCCAAAATTATCCTTAATTTTGTAAACTTTGTCAACGCAGTGTAGTAGCTGCAGACCTAGAGCAGGCTGACTAGCGCGCTCATTGGCTGCCCTGCGGCAACTGCAGCAGCCTACCAGTGAGCCTGGCGTGACGTCACGCCCAATGGTGACGCTTC